GTGTGTGTGCGTGTGCGTGTGTGTGTGTGCATGTGCGTGTGGGTACCTGTGTGCGGGCCGGCCGTGCGGGCTGTAGGGGGGCGGGGGGCCCCACGCCGCCCCCTCCGCGACCGTGCCCACCGACGACTCGCTCTAAGTACAAAGAATCATAGTTCAACATTTTTTTTCTCTTATTCTAATAACTTTGAGAGGTTATCCTAGATTCACCGAACTAGTAGGTGAGCTCACGAGGTTCAAACCTGAGAACGTTTCTAACACGAACCCTAGCAAGTGGTTACTGGAGCCCATCGGCTATAACGCAACTGCGCCACCCACCTTGAGATATAAGTTCTAAGGTCTCAAGTATAGTTACAACGGCTGCCCCACCCTTCAAACCGAAACGCATTACAGCTTCACGACAGAAATAAACAGGGCGGTGGTACCTGCCCGTGCGGACTCACAAGACGTCCTACCACCAGTAAACCTGACCTAGAGGGTGAAGATACGAAGAGTCCTGACATTTCTTGTCGGATCCTCTAGGTCAGCGTTTCCCAACCTTTTTGATGCCATGCCCCACTGTAACATTTCTACATTGCAACATAGCCGTCGTCTCTCTCTGACGCGTGTACCTGCGTGAAACTCTGTTGATGAGCGAAATTCTGGGGGTAGTTCGGCCTCTGGAACGCCGGCTCGAATTGCGGAGCACCCGGGGCTTCGCCCTCGCAGAAACCGTAGGCGCTGTCGCCGGACTGCGGGACTCCTCCCATACGACATCTAGAACTGAAAGGGTGGATGAAATTAATTTTTCTGTTGCAATAATTAGACAAGCTGTCAGTCTAACAACTCAGGGCGGTTGGCCCGCGACGCATGTTTGAATCAGTTCAATAGTTTTGGATATAAATAGTTTGGATAATAGAATTATTTGTGTTGGAGTTTGTATATTAAATGTAATGGCAGGCAACACTTGACACTTGATTAGATTTCGAATATTGGAATTATTTTAAATGTTTAAAAAACAGATCATTGTATTCTCGTAAGAAAATGTCAGTACTTCTCATCTAGACACGGCAAGACAAACATGTAACAGTTTTATAAAAAATATAAAGATAATAATTGTATAATGGTGTAAAAGTGTTCAAGCTATCAGCAATATAATTATAATGAAGCAGTTGTGTTTTTAAATAGCCCCTCATCACCTAAAGAACCGAATCCCTCAAATTTAACCATCCAACACTTTGTTAAAACATTTATTTATTTATTTATTTATTTGGGATTTATTATATTTGTAAAAAAGCGTGGGGAGCTTTTCAGGATGTTATCAAAATAACCCTTCTACACAAATGTGTTCATAAAATATTTATAACTACTGATACCATGCACACCACGCTTTTTTTACAATAAAATCATTTTTTCTTACACTATTTTTATTCAAATTTATTTTCTATTTTTTAGTTGGATTTTCTATAGAAGCGTATTTTGTTATTATAGTTTTTTTAAACTATTATTTATTTCTCATTTTTTAGTTGAATTTAAATTTTTTCAATATTTTTTTTTTAGTATTGTCTTGTCTTTGATCCTTAATAAGTATACCAAATTTCGAGTTAATCCGACGTTTTGAAGGGGGTCAAAATCATGTTCAAAGATTCCGTTACATCCATACGTCTGAAGTTAGCAATAAAAGCGTACTAAAAAAAACAGTGTTATAGGAAGGCTACCTGTAAATCATCCATCAGTTATGATAACTTTAAGTCAGTTAATAATAATAATAATAATAATAAAATAATAAAAAACCATGGAAACCGTCTACAACAACAGACGTGTCAAAAATTGCAAAATTCAAATTTATTTAATTTTACCTAAATTTTTACAAATATTTATAGAAAAAATACAAATAATTAAATTTTAAAAATGATAAAAACAAAAAGAGAAAGTGTAAAGTTGGATGCAAAAACGAAAATAAAGAATTTAAAGAAAACTGCAATGTGACNTTCTCGATACTGCACGCATTGTGAGGAGGTTTCTCACTCTGGAGTCCTAACCACTGGTGGCTTGTGTCGTAGACACCGCCATCAGCGGCAATCTATTTTTATATAGTGTTTTTTAAAAATTGTATTTTTAATATATTTTTTAAAAAATATTATGTAATTAATAAGATTTTAAATAAATATAAATAAATAATAATAATAAAAAGTGTGTGTGTGTGTGTGTGTGCAAGTCACACACGGTAGAAGTGAAACTTATAAATAAGATATAGATATACTGAGTATCCCACTACACAGGAGCATACATATGGACAATGTTCAGTAGACGGTAGTGGGGATGCTACGAAGAGAACGTCTAATGTGTTCTATCTCATTCTCTCGCCGGCTGATTCCTGTACATTTATATGTTTGTGTCTCTATGGACTTATTTTTTCGTTTCATCGAGTTTGAAATCACAACGATCCTAAAGAAGTTACACTTCAATAAAAACTCACTTCTGGCTGTTACTCCTGGGCCAAGGGAACCAGCTCCAGGCCGAGGTCTTCCTCCCGGCGCCAGGATTGGGCGAGTACAGGTTCCCGATGCGTCCTTGAAAATGTAGACATTTGAAAAAGCACAATTTTAATGAATCTCGAAACATCTTATGTGCCAGTAATATCGCTATTTTACTGATGGTAGGACCTCTTGAGTCGGCACTGGTAGGTACCACCACCCTGGCTATATCTGCCGCGAAGCAGTAATGAACAAACGCATTCACGGCAGAAATAGGCAGGACAGTGTTACCTACCCGTGCGGACTCAAGAGGTCCTACCACCAGTAATTACGCAAATTATAATTTTGCGGGTTTGATTTTTATTACACGATGTTATTCCTTCACCGTGGAAGTCAATCGTGAACATTTGATGAGTACGTATTTCATTAGAAAAATTGGTACCCGCCTGCGGGATTCGAACACCGGTACATCGCTACATACAAATGCACCGGACGTCCTATCCTTTAGGCCACGACGACTTCTGTATGTATTTTATTTCGTTTACCTGGCGCCCAAAATCTGTGCTGCAAGCTGATATCCCAGGCCTGCTGGGTGGGGTGACACTGAGCACAGCAGCCGCAATTAGCCTGTAAATAATAATAATAAATAGCTGGGAACAAATCACGCTCGACCATCAGGCATTCAGTAGGCAGCGGCTTGGCTCTGCCCCTGGCATTGCTGAAGTCCATGGGCGACGGTAACCACTCACCATCAGGTGGGCCGTGTGCTTGTTTGCCTACAAGGGCAATAAAAAAAGGCCTCAAAATATGGGCCTAAAAAAAGGCCTAAAAAAGTGTTATTGTGTACCAGATACTGACATACATCATCATTATATAGTATAAAACAAAGTCGCTTTATCTGTCCCTATATGTGATTGAAGAGGAAGGTTTATATGTGAGTCGACTATTATCAAAGCCGGCAATCTGACTTTTGGACAATTATTGGTAAATCAGAAAAACGAATTATTGACTTTGTATTACATTGGCAGTCACAAAACTCTTCGGAACGACATCTTAGATAAATAACAGGTTAACTATTAACCTTTATTTAATGCAGGTTTTGAACCGTATTCTTTGAAGGCGACGATTATATTCAGATCAATCTGTATTGACATATCAATAACATTTTTTTATCCAAATGCACAGATTGCCACCTTTTATAATAGACGACTCATGTATAGTAACATCCATCACATAGTGGAGAAATCAATAATAAATTAGAGTTTCCGAAGCGAAACGAGGGCGGGTCGCTGGTACATATATACGTTTAAATATATAGATAATAAGCACCCAGACAAAGAGCAAACAAAATTGTTGATCACACGAATGTTTGCCCGATGTGAGAATCGAACCCACGACCCTCGGCCCTATAGTCAAGGCCGCTAACTAATGCACCACCGGATCAGCCAATAAATTGTTGATTGTTCTTTTGTAAGTTTTTATAGGCAGTTTTATACAGACATATAGTTCGTGATTCCTAATGTATTTTTATTTTTTTATTAGGTTCACACAAGTGAATAAAATCTGCACACATAAGCATTGAACTTATTTACATAAATTAATACATTACTAGAGGTCCCGCAGTAGTCGAAATTCGACTATAATTAATTGGAATTGTAAGTTTGTACACTATTATGATTGTATTTTATACAAATTTCGCCAAGACTACACCATAAAAAATATTAACAAAGACAAACAATATTTAATCTATTCTCAATTTGACAACAGACGTCAAGAACAAAAGTTTGACAATAAATAGTATGTATGCGTGTGTGCGTCAAATACATGGCATGTAGTGTGTTCTTTATTGATTTAATGTATCTTGTATGCATTATTTTAAAAAAATATTAGCATTGTGCACTATATTTCTCTATATTCTCTATAAGTGTGGAAAGTTTCATACTCCTCCGTCCGCGCAATTTTCATAAAAAGGGATACAAAGTTTTTGCTTCACGTATTAATATATAGATAGTATGTGTGAACACATCTTGCTTAAGAGCGTTTGGGCTTAAGGTAAAAATATCGTTAACTGATATTAAAACAAGACAAAGAAAACAAAAAAAATTAAGGGCATATTGTGTACTCACTTGAGCCGATCTGCCGGCGGTGGGGGTGGGCTGTCCCATTGGCGGCCGATACAGCGAACGGCATCTCAATTCTAACTGCTCCCAGTACATTTTCTTTCGTTCGTGACTGTAATAGTATAAGAATAAAGTTTAAAATTGAATAATTTTTTTAACACTAATCATACCAACGCTTACTGGTACCTATTTCTACTATATGGGTAGATAACGGTATACGACAAGTATAACTCAAAGGGGACTTTTTGGCGGGAACGCGAGGAGTGAAGTTCTGTGATTTGTTTTATTTTGTCTATTTAGTGTTTCTTCGGGTTTAAATGTGTAATAATGGTGGTCTATTAACCGTTTAATATCTGTGAAAGTACACAAATGTGGAAAAATGAAACAAAGCCGTTGGACGTAACTTCACGGGATCCTCCAAAAAGTCCACTGAAAAAATCTTAGTAAATGACCACCATTTTACTGAGATCATATTTCATTTCATTTAATTTCATCCCAGTTGATTAATGTCTCAAATTAGTAGTCTTCATTTCATTTCACTCTTTATCATTTTTTCATAAAAATATGAACATAAATTAAAATAAGACATGACTTAAAGGTCTCAGTTACCAGGTCATAAAATCTCTTAAAAAAAAAAGTATTACTCAAAATAAAGAAAATAAAACAACAACAAAAAGTATAATAACTGTTGATTCATTGGTTAGAAAAAGTCATGAAGTCAATAAGATACGTGCAAACAAAGTTAAATCTAACTCTCAGACACAGCCCACTGAGTTTCTCGTCGGATCCTCTCAGTGGGTCGCGTTTCCGATCCGGTGGTAGATTCTGCGAAGCACGGCTCTTGCTAGGGTTCGTGTTAGCATCGTCTTCAGGTATGAGGCCCGTGAGCTCACCTACTAGCCACGGTTACGCTGGAATAGCCGCCCCAGGCTACCAGCTTAGGTAGGAAAAAAAAAAAAAAGCAAACAAAAGTTCAAAATGGGTCATTTGACCCGTTATGGTATGTTTAGTGTTAAACGGTAGCTTTGTAGTCGGTTTTGTGAGGCGATTTAGGACAAAGGCAGATTTTCTCAGTAGTTTAACACTATAGCTATGTTCAATACCGTCTTTACCATAAGGGCACACGGGGCCCCGAAAGACCGACAATTTCTCTCACACGTTTATTCTCAAAACATTTTTGTCGGGCACATTACACTTTTTTCACAAATCAGTAATCAGAAGGTATTTACAAGGCATATAATAATAATAATAATAATAAGCCCATTTTATTTCCAAACACAAATAGAAAAAAAGAAAAAAAAAGAAAAAACACCTTATCAAATACAAGGCATATACTATGCCTATAATAGAAGACTTTGCTCAACAGAAATCCCGAAAGAAACCGTTATCGAAATCGTAACCAAAAAACCAGCAGCATTCTAATATCATTAATGATATATTATATCATACTGTATTTGATTACCTATAATAAATGGTCTCATACTAAGTAAAAAAATGTTATTTTAATTCGCTTTTTTTACTTTCCAAAAGGGCCTCAAATTCTTGTGTGCCCAAGGGCCCCATCCTAGTTTAAGACGTCCCTGGCTATGTTATGAAGTAAATTTTTCATTCAGTTGTGTAAATATAGGCACTCAATGTTTTTTTTTATATATATTTTAATCCAGCTCTATCGATTTTTAGTCCGTTATGTTGTTTCAACTCTGTAGTCATATTGAGAATGGGTTAATATTGTTTGTCTTTCATATTATTTGTCTTAGTGTAATCTTGTGAGTGATTATAAAATTACTAGCGGCCCGCTCCGGCTCCGCTCGGGTCTTTAACAAAAATTTCAACGATATTTGACGTTGTTTTATTTTTTTAAATAAAAGAACACTTTTTTGTTTGCCTTTGTAGGCAGACGAGCATACGGCCCACCTGATGGTGAGTGGTTACCGTCGCCCATGGACTTCAGCAATGCCAAGGGCAGAGCCAAGCCGCTGCCTACCGATGCCTATAGTTATTGCGGCATAACTATAATAGTTAGACATATGCTGTCGGGACACTTTTTGTAAATGTGTTCTACAAAGTCGTAGTACATTATTTTATTCTATCATCAATAGTTTTCGCAGGGCACGCGATGTAAAAAATATTTTAGGTAATTTTACACCTAGGGTTACATTATTGGAGTTTTAGTAAGGATCCCTAATTCTTTTCCAAAATAATTATAGCCTATGTCACTCGGGAATAGTGTAGTTTCCAATCGGTTCAGTAGTTTCGGAGCCTATTCAATGCAAACAAACAAACAAATGTTTCCTCTTTATAATATTAGTATAGAAGTATAGATAATAGTTTTTTTTTTGCTGAGGTGGGTGGACGAGCTCACATCCCACCTGGTATTAAGTGGTTACTGGAGCCCATAGACATCTACAACGTAAACGCACCGCCCACCTTGTGATATAAGTTCTAAGGTTTCAGTATATGTAGTTACAACGGCTGCCCCGCCCTTCAAACCGAAACGCGGTACTGCTTCACAGCAGACATAGGCGGGGTGGTGGTACCTGCCCGCGCGGACTCACAAGAGATCCTGCCACCAATCTTTCACAATAAAACGATAATAATGTTCAAACTTATAATTTCAATTAATTATAGTCTAATTTCAACTACTGGGGGACCACTAGTTACTAGACCACCATTACAACTTCAAACAGCATTGTTCTCTTTGCGAACGTCATACATTAACTCGAAATTTGATATACTCATTAAGGACCGATGACAATTAAATATTAAAAAAAAAAAATTGAAAAAATTGAAATTCAACTAAAAAATGAAAAATAAATAATAGTTGAAAAAAATTAATAAAATACGCTTTTATTGAAAATCCAACTAAAAAATTAAAAATTAATTTTAATAAATTTGAATTAAAAATAGTGTAAGATAAAATGATTTTATTGTAAAAAAAAACGTGGGGTGCATGGTATCAGTCGTGATAAATATTTTATGAACACATATGAGTAGAAGGGTTATTTTGATAATATCCTGAAAAGCAACCCACGCTTTTTTATTAAAATTTATTTTTTATTTTTTAGTTGGATTTTCTATAAAAGCGTAATTTGTTAGTTTTTTTAAACTATTATTTATTAAATCAATCGGGCTGACCGCCTGCTCGCTACCAATATTCGAAACCATGACAACAGTTACCATAGCAACCGTTACAGTTTGAACAGTAGCTTGACATTTGCGTGTCGCGAGTAAAAAAATTCGCAACACTTTTCCTCGCCACGTTCCAAGGTAAAAAATGTCTCAAGGAGTCCACAGGAGTAGCATCAGCGCCACATCGGGCAGCCACTACGACGAACTCAGCGACACGGAGCTGATAAAGCTGGTCGGCGAATTGAAACAGAACCTCAAGGCGTTGCAACTCGAAAACGACGTACTCGAAAGGGTCCTGACCAGGCTGGACCCCTCCCTGCTGCAGGGCATCCAACAGGCCATCGAATACGCGAGCAAATTTCAGAGCTACTCCTCGATGAACGTGGGCAGTTTCGTCAAATCGCAAACTTCCAAATTCGGGTTCGAGTCTCTGGCCAGTCCATCCAGGATGCTCACTAGCCCTTCGAAGGTTTCGACCAGGCGAATAGACTCATCCGCCAGGGTCGGAGGGACGGTCATCTTCGGCACGGGACCACGAGTCAACGTGTTAGAGAGATCGGAGCTAGTTTCCACCGAAATGGAGATCGTGATACGGAATCTCGAGAAAGTCCGGAGCAAGGCCGCTAAGCAACACGCTTTATTAAAAGCTCAATTAGAAGAGATAGGCCTAAGGGTCAATGATATCGTGAAATCATACGAGCTGTTCGACAAGCAGGTTATCGTGGAAGGCTGGGACAGTATAGCCCAAAGGATTCCCGCTGAAATCTGGATACGATTCATGACTGAGTGGGTCAAAGCGACCGACAGCCAGATCGGGAAGCTGCGGCTCCGAACAAGCACCCTGAACACTCACTACAGCAAATTAAAAGGACAGATCCAAGTCAAAGAGGAGCTCAGCCAGAATCTAAGACCCGTCGATTTTGACAAACTGAAGATCGAAAACGGAGAATGCATTAGCGTTATCGAACAGAAGATTCAGCAGCTTGGCGAACTTAAAAAGATGACGGGCGACGCCAATTTGAATCTGGCCGTCCACAAGAAGGCTCTGATGCAGCAGAACACATACCTCGCCAACGTGTTGAGAACGATCAGATCGAAACAGCAGCAAGCCGCGGTATTGGATAGAGAGAAGAATGTAATAGAAGACGAAGCGGATAAACTGGAGGATAAGCTGGAGGGGGTGAGGAAATTGAGGTCAGCTTTCGAAGTGCCCGATGTCATGGACTACGTGAGGGTCAAAGCTGAGGTGGCAGACCTAAAGCACTCGATAAAGATGCTGGAAAACCGAAGCAGAGTACAGCAGTTCGCTTTGAAATCTTTGACCAGGCAATTGAAGATTTTGAATTGACAAATCATTCGCAATGGATTTGGGTTGATTATGTTAAAAGCTATTAGTGTTTGTAGCGTTTATAATATTTGTATAAGTTCCGCGTGCAAACACAATATCGGTAAAGTTGATTCATATTTCTGCAAAATATCAAGTCCGCGTCATATGTAACTACATACACCCAATTTTAATGTAAAATTAACGAATTAAAATTATGAATGAAAACTGCTAATGTCGACTTATAAATGCTGTCTGAGAATGCGCTGGTGATTCGGGAAAAACTTACGAAAAAATAATACTTATTTAACCCTATGCACTCTTTTTCCCCCTAACTATGCTGATAGCCTTGAGAGGCTATATCAGCGTTACCCTCGCGTGTAGGTGAGCTCACGGGGCTCAAACCGTAGTGTTGCTAACACTGACCCTAGCAAGAGTAGTGGTTCGCAGAATCTACCACCGAATCGGAAAGGCGATCCACTGAGAAGATCCGGCGAGAAACTCAGTAGGCTGTCTAAGGGGTTTTGCACTCAAGGTCTTTTTCGAGACGATAAACTTATAGACAAACAAACTTATTCAAATAATAAAATTTCAATAGTTTTTTCTTATGTATGTCGGAAAGAACAAAGTTTGATAAAAATTACACTCTCTAAGCACAGCCGATTACAACAAAAAGTTGTAGTATAGTAAAGTTAGACGAATTTACTGGTGGTAGGACCTCTTGTGAGTCCGCACGGGTAGGTGCTAACACCCCGCCCATTTCTGCAGTGAAGCAGTAATGCGTTTCAGTTTGAAGGACGGAGCAGCCGTTGTAACTGTACTGAGACCTTATGACCCATGTCGGGTGGCGGCATTCACGTTGTAGATGTCTATGGGCTCTAGTAACCACTTAACACAAGGTGGGCTGTGAGAAAAAAAAGGCGTCTTTCTAACGACGGTCTCCTGATTACCTCAGTAGTTGATAAGCCAGCATGCAGCTGAAGATGCAGACGAGCACAGCGCTGACTGAGAGGGCGAAGACTCCCCTCAAGCACCAGTACAGCGCGCCGTGAACCACGCCGCAGTCCGTGACGCCTTCGAAGACACAGCGGACCCCTGGCCCAAGGACTACACATGACTTCAGTTCGTTAGGCAAGGATACTAGTGATATCCCTCTGAAACCTCATGTCTCAAAGATGGTGACATTGATATGATGTTTGTGGACTCCAATAAGTTGAGTACATGGCTTCAGTTGGTTAGGCAAAGATACTTGTGACTCCTCTCTGTCTGAGACCTCATGTCTCAAAGATGGTGACATTAACATGATGTCAGTGGACTCCAATAAGTTTAGCACATGGCTTCAGCTGGTTAGACCAGGATACTTGTGATATCCCTTTGTCTGAGACCTCGTGTATCCAAGATGGTGGCATTGATATGATGTCTATGTGGACTCCAGTAACCACGTATTGACAACTATGCTATGAGGTTTTTAATACGCTTTTATTAGCTTCAAACGTATGTATGTTAGTATGTAACGGAATCTTTGAACATGATTTTGACCCCCTTCAAAACGTCGGATTAACTCGAGATTTGGTATACTTATTAAGGACCGATGACAATTCAGTATTTTAAAAAAATTTGAAAAAATTGAAATTATACTAAAAATTAAAAATAAATAATAGTTTAAAAAAACTAACAAAATACGCTTTTATATAAAATCCAACTAAAAAATAAAAAATAAATTTTAATAAATTTGAATTAAAAATAGTATGAGAAAAAATTAGTTTATTGTAAAAAAGGGTGGGGTGCTTTTCAGGATATTATCCAAACAACCCTTCTACTCATATCTGTTCATAAAATATTTATAACTACTGATACCATGCACCCTTTCAATTTATTTTCTATTTTTTAACTGGATTTTCTATAAAAGCGTATTTTGTTAGTTTTTTTTTTGGACTATTATTTATTTTTTAAACTAAATCTTCTCTGTATTAAAGTGGATGGTTACCGTCATCTTCGCTGCCGCTGTGCTGGGTGCCTGGTAGCATCGAATAACAAGTGCAGGTACGGGTCAGCTTGGTATACTCGCAAGACTTCAGCGTCTGCAATCTGTGATGAAGAACATTTAAGTCTCTTCTCTTTAATTCACACAGGTATTACACAATTAAAATCTACCTAAGCTGATAGCCTTGAGAGGCTTTTTTAGCGTAACCTTAGCTGGTAGGTGAGCTCACGGGGCTCAAAATGGAGTGATGCTAACACTGACCCTAGCAAGAGCAGTGCTTCGCAGAATCTACCACCGGATCGGAAACGCGACTCACTGAGAAGATCCGGCGAGAAACTCAGTGGGCTGTGTGTGGGTTAATTCGCTCGTCGAGCCCTTCGTTGTAAGCGACGGGTTCGACGAGGACGGTGACCGGAACTTGTGATACCTAAAAGGCCCGTTAGTGGGCCGGGAGGATCCGTAATGACGTGTATGTACAACATAGTTTTATGCCGGTACTAGTAACGCCATCTGTCGTTAAAGAGCAGAAACGGATATCAAAACGACTAGTACTATCGAGAACGTTCGAGAAGGGTTATGCCGGTATAAGCAACGCCATCTGTTGTCAAATATCTAAAACTTCATTACTACTACATATTCATTTATTAAAATCAATCTTACTTGTTCATATGTATTACAGTTGTCGTTATGGTCACTAGGACGCAAGTCAAGGCGCAGACCAGACAGCAAGCGCCCACAACTTTGATCTGAGAACAACACAGCTATTTGGAAGGAGATTGTTGCAGATTACTGGTGGTAGGACCTCTTGTGAGGCCGCAAGGGTAGGTACCACCACCCTGCCTATTTCTGCCGTGAAGCATTTCGGTTTGAAGGGTTTGAAGGAAGATGGTTGGGCGAGCTCACAGCCCACCTGGTGTTAAGTGGTTACTGGAGCCCACAGACATCTACACGTAAATGCGCCACCCACTTTGAGATATAAGTTCCGAGGTCTCAGTATAGTTACAACGGCTGCCCCGCCCTTTAAACCGAAACGCACTACTGCTTCAGAAATAGGCAGGCCAGTGGTACCTACCCTACGGTAAGGTACTGGTCCTACCACCAGTAAAAATTGAGATATCAAATCGGTCACTACCTTTAGTGCTAATATGTTACAGATATGAAAGCCTGCACTATATCGTCGTTGTCAAACCAAAATCTGGTAATTGCACTTTTTCAGATTTTTACCTTTTCGTATAGTTCACAGCCCTATCTACTGTATAAAAAAAAACTGTTATGTGTCTATCTTTAATATTTATCTATAGCTTTCATTTAAAAATTCTTTAAAAATGTAAGTTTTTAAAAATTCACCACCTACCTTCATATAAAATTTTATATGAAAATGTTTTTACTCGTTAATTCAAAATAGAGTTTTTGCACATAGCAGATTTTGGTTTGACAGCGACGATATAATTTAAGTATATATGATCGATTTAAACTTCATTTCGTTTGCTATTAAAATGGCCACTTTTTGTTTTCAAAGTCTTAATTTGCTTAGACATAAAGTATGGAAACTAAAAAAAAAACATAGAATTTGAACATACTTTTCTTACCATGTAGCTGTAACGGTTCCTCCGCCGCGCGAGGCTCATGATGCAGACGCCGGTCAACACCAACTGCGGAAAAGCTTACACCCTTAAACTTGACCGGATATAGAGGAGCTGAAAGACTGAAGTCGTCGTGGCCTAACGGATAAGACGTCCGGTGCATTCGTGTTGAGCGATGCACCGGTGTTCGAATCCCGCAGGCGGGTACCAATTTTTCTATGAAATACGTACTCAACAAATGTTCACTATTGACTTCCACGGTGATATTCATCATTCCGTCGTGTAATAAAAATCAAACCCGAAAAATTATAATTTGCGTAATTACTAGTGGTAGGACCTCTTGTGAGTCCGTGAGGGTAGGTACCACCTCCCTTACCTATTTCTACCGTGAAGCAGTAATATACTTGAGACCTTAGAACTTGTCTCGGAGTGGGTGGCGCATTTACATCGTGGATGTCTATAGGCTCCAGTAACCAATTAACACCAGGTGGGCTGTGAGCTCGACCACCCATCTAAGCAATAAAAAAAAGCTAACAATACCGATTTCTCACGCTGAGGAAATCACGACATATCTCAATGAGCTATTTATTACTGTATACATTAGAGAAGAGACCATAGAATAAATGGATGGATTGCATGGAAGACGATATGGATAAGGGTAGTGAGCGAAAAAATGGTATATGATATTCGGTTTGAGGGGTGGGGCAGCCGTCGTTACTATACTTGAGACCTTAGAACTTGTATCTCAAAGGTGGTTGGCGCATTTACGTTGTGGATGTCTATGGGCTCCAGTAACCACTTAACATCAGGTGGGCTGTGAGCTCGTCCACCCATCAAAGCAATAAAAAAAAATATAAAAAAAAAACACCACCCCAGGTGACTGAGAGAAGGGCAGGATAATGATGATGATGATGATGATGATTAGAGAATCCAGGGAAAAGCCTAACAGCTTTCTACCGTTGAGCACTCTTCAATCCTGTAGACTAATAGGCCGTGGAGGTCAGGAAGGCCATGACAATCGCATCACATACTTCAAAGTCGAGTAAGGCAGGCAGTAGTTTGGCTCTGCCCCTGGCACTGCTGATCCGTGAACAACGGTAACCAGTAACCATCAGTGTGCTTGGTGCGAGTTTTTAATGTTCTCCATAGTAGTGGTGGTAGGACGTCTTGTAAGTCCGCGCGGGTAGGTACCACCGCTCTGCCTATTTCTGCCGTGAAGCAGTAATGCGTTTCGGTTTGAATAGCGGGGCAGCCGTTGTACTGTAAAAAGTAAGACCTTAGAACCCATGTCTCGAGGTGCGTGGCGACATTTACGTTGTAGATGTCTATGGTCTCCGGTAACGACTTAACACCAGGTGGACCGTAAGCTCGTCCACCTCACTAAGCAATAAAAAAAAATGCGTAAAAGTTAGCTCATACTTGTATGGAATGGGATTGTTTGCCTACGTTTGCCGCTAGGGGCGCCGTTCCAAATGCATACAAAATTGGGTTAACTTTTACGCTATCGAGAACGTTAAGGAACTCGCACTAAGCACACGGGTAGACAGTGTACGATAGGTCAGTATTATTGATTCTTAAAGTTTTAAAGAAATACGATTTTACTACCAACTGCTAATGATTTTACGACTGACTTTTTCATCAATGTTGCACAAACTGTGGCAACGCGTGGCGCTAGTGTCGCGCTCAGTAGAACGCGCGGGTACCGGGCAAGTTGGCGGGAGATTTCAAAATGTAAACCCCAAAATCGAACAGGCGGTATGCTCAACGGGATTCAGTAGCAATAAAGAAATCCTCAACTACCTTAAATTCTGTAAATATTGCAGCGCGCTGTCTATTTGTGAGGGTACAAAGGGAAAGGGTTTTTTTATTTGCTTAGTTAGGTGGACGAGCTCACAGCCCACCTGGTGTTAAGTGGTTACTGGAGCCCATAGACATCTACAACGTTTACGCGCCACCCACCTTGAGATACAAATTCTAAAGGTCTCAAGTATAGTTACAACGGCTGCCCCACCCTTCAAACCGAAACGCATTACTGCTTCACGGCAGAAATAGGCAGGGCGGTGGCACCTACCCGCGCGGACTCACAAGAGGTCCTATCACCAGTATCTACCTGAGCTCCGGTACTGCCGAGCATCAGACCGTAATTCTGCGCATCTACAGCAAAAACCGGTGCGAGGTATCCAACGCCGAAACTCACCATGGCCGCCGGTACAGCCGCCGGCACCGTCTCCAGATGCTGCGGTGATGCTGTATAGGCCCTCAGTAGGATATGCTGGGCAGCCAACAGGCCTCCGAGAGCCGCTGCCAAGGCGCCGCAGCCGACGCACCACCAGGCGTACTTTCTACGACGACCACTTGCTTCATTGTTGCATCCCACTGATGCTGGAATTAAGAAAACGAATTCAAGATTTTGTTGGAAGGTCGTGATGCTGTCCACGTATAATTGTCTATGATGCACTACATTTGAATTTGAATTATGTTTTTTTTTACTTTTGATGTGCGGTGTCATTCTGTAATATATTTTCTCATATACAAGTAAACACAATGTTTTTCAAGTATTATTTACGTTTTAATTAATTGCTATAGCCGCTAATCCACCCTATCAGATTTGTTTATTGCTTAGATGGGTTCACGGTCCACCTAGAGCAGGGGTTCCCAAACTTATTTTGTCTACTACCCACTTTGAGAATAAATTATATTTTCGCGCCCCCCTTTTTTTAACCCACTTAAAAACCACTATAACGAGAACTCAGTCGGTATCTAAGAGTCCTCCTAGATGAAATTACAAATCGCCTACCAAGCCTCCACACAACGCCCCCATTTTTTTCTGGGTCTCTTACCGCCCCCCTTTAGGCCTACAAGGCCCACAAAGAGGCGTTATCGCCCACTTTGGGAAAGGTTGACCTAGAGTTAGTTACAGAGCCCATAGATATCGACAGTGTTAATGCCGCCAATCACCTTGAAACATGAGTACTAGTTTCGCGGCAGATATAGGCGGGGTGGTGGTACCTACCCGTGCGGGCTCACAAGACGTCCTATGACAAGTAAAGTCAGATCTACTTTTTAGTCATGCCTCCCTATTTAATGAATGCAACAGCCGTTATACGATAATATTGGGACTTCCACCTGAAGGTAGGTTACATACAACATTCTCTATGGGATCTGCCGTCAAATCCAACCCAATAATCACAAATCTTTAATGCAGAAATACATCGTGGCAGAATTCATAATTCGTTAAGCTATAAGTCGACTAAAAACAGAACATATCTGCCAGTGAAACTAAATATTTGACAAACGTCAAAACTGACAGCTGTCATTACCGAAATAAGATGGCGGCGGTACATAGTGATGCGGGACCTCGGCCGCGAGGGTCGGCTGCGGACCGGACACCTGATACTGCACCACTTGCATTACACCACACGCTCGCATCTCTCAATGAACTCACTAATGCTCGACATATACGACAGTATATAAAAAGGTCCTTTCAAAACTTTTCCAAAAACTATTGTATCACAAAGGTAAACAGATATAAATAAGTTTCAAGAGTTTATACATCAATTTATTATCAAATCACTGTTGGACTGAATTAGATTTAGAGAAACAAGACGCGGTAACATTCAAAGAACGCGCCATTTTCGTAAAATCGATATTTCCACCCTACGTCGACTAAGGAACAATGACCTCTTTGCAAATCGAAAACATTCTTCGAACACAGAAATATTCAATTGGAAAGTCACACACGCAATTCCTTTGCTTGTTTTAAGATAGTCAAAAAATCAATTCCTCTTTTATTTTTTAATTCACGATTTCATAATTTTCATCACAACATTCTCGAATTAAGATCGGTATATTTCCCTCGTTTTCTGAGACACCACAATAGAAATCACATTTTAAAGAACTACTCGTAATTTTATTTTCGTCACATTTTCACGTTACTAATTAATTAACAACGACAAACAATTATTTGTATTTGTCTAATCACTAATATTATTGCCACGGAGTTATTACTACGCTTAGTTTGGTATAAGGTTATGTAGTTTGACAATGGTTACGCGCAGAATCCAACGACGCTACCCAGGTATGAAAGGTCTTTAGGGAATTACCAAAATCCATTGGATTTTGAATCTTAAAATCTTACGTGAATACACCATATTGTTTTTTGTTAGTTTTTGCAGTCGCCCAAATAATCGCTAAATCACAAACCCGAAATCACAGCAATGGATTGGTACGCTAAGCTATTTTGTGGTACGGAGTTTTACGATCCCTAAGTTATTACTTGGTTATATTAATAAGAAATTCAACCTTCGAACAATATCTCCTCAACTTATAATAGCAATGGCGTCTTTAGCGGAATTATAGCCAGCATCGAGATTCAAATTCTATTTAATGGAGGCTACATCCTGTATTCAAAAATACAAAATTAATTACAACGTAATTACGTCTGTAAGAGCACTAGTTTCTTACTGATGGTAGGACGTCTTGCGAGTCCGAACGGGTAGGTACCGCCCTGCCCATTTCTGCCGTGAAGCAGTAATGCGTTTCGGTTTGTAGGTGGGGCAGCCGTTGTATCTATACTGAGACCTTAGAACTCACATCTAAAGGTGGGTGACGGCATTTACGTTATAGATGTCTATGGGCTTTAGTAACCACTGAACACCAAGTGAGCTGTGAGCTCGTTCATCCATATAAGCAAAAATAAAAATAATAAAAAGTTGTATAAAAAAAACAATCGTCAAATTAAACTATATTTCATTACATTTATATTGTAAGAAAACATTCATACTTTATAACAAAATAGACTAATGTCCTTTTCAAAAGACTACCTCTGCTACCTGTGCCTTTATAACAGGTAATGTTGCAAGAAAAAAAAAATGTTAATTGTGCTACAATTTTTTTCATCATAATGCGTGTGTGAGAAGATTCTGTCCACCTGTTTTGTAACAATGGTGCTGTGCAATGATTTTTTTTTGTTGCAATCCACCCTCGGTCTTGCCTAAAATACCGCGATTCTGAATATCTATCTATTGTGAGTGGAATGTGTAGAGGAGACATTTATCATCCAAAGTGTTTGAAATGAAAGTATTTCGGAAGATATATATCTTGTATTGTGATGTTTGTATATACGGATTTTCTTTTCTATTTATTCCTTAACATCGACGTATAGGACTTGTCAATTCGTTCATCTCTTTAAGCTTTCTTGTCAATTTCTATATTTTACCATGATATTTCTCTGAATTTCTGGGGGAAACTAATTTAATCAGAACACAATAGAGAATTAACCTTAAATAATTAGTCGTCGGAATATCTCATACTTATAAATTAGTCTCACAATTCATTAATTAGGGGCTGCCAGAACGTTGTTTAGAAAATAATTACTTATATCGTTGAATTGCTACAAAAATAATGTAATCTATATATTAATACGTGAAGCAAAAACTTTGTATCCCTTTATACGAAAATTGCGCGGACGGAGGAGTATGAAATTTTCCACACTTATAGAGAATATAGAGAAGAAGTGCACAATGCTAATATTTTTTTTTAAATTATGCATAAAAGATACATTAAATCAATAAAGAAAACATTACACACACTACATACCATGTATTTGACGCACACATGCAAGCATACTATTTATTGTCAAACTTTTGTTCTTGACGTCTGTGGTCAAATTGAGAATAGATTAAATATTGTTTGTCTTTATTAATATTTTTTTATAGTGTAGCCTTGGTGAAATTTGTGATTATAGAAGTATAAAATACAATCATATTAGTGTACAAACTTACAATTCTAATTAATTATAGTCGAATTTCGACTACTGCGGGACCTCTAGTTTATACTAATATATAAATCTACAGTGGTTTTTACTTATGTTCCGTTATAACTACTGAACCGTGCAGCCGATTGACTTGAAACTTGGTATCCATGTATAAAATACATGTATTTAATGGATGGGCTAATATTTATATGAGTGTTGGACTCCCTAATATTAATGACAATAAATAATAACGCTAATTTCAAATGCCCAGCGAAGCGAACGAGTAGGGCTAGTTTATGTATAAAAATACAAAAATCAAATTATTACACAAAAATAAATTACAATTGGAGTATCAATAGAGCTGTAATAACTACTTACACCTCAGTTGTCAAAACAATAGATAAAGTAATTACAATAGATAGCATCATCATTATCCTGCCCTTCTCCCAGTCACCTGGGGTCGGCGCAACATGTTTTCTCCTTCCATACTCTTCTATCATATACCATTTCTTCGCTCACTCCCCTCTTACACATATCGTCTTTCACACAATCCATCCAGTTCTTCTTAGGTCTACCTCTTCCTCTATATCCTTCCACATTCATAGTTAACACTCTCTTACCAACCTCATTTTCATTTCGTCTCATGACATGTTCATACCATCCCAAACGCGCACTCCTCAGCTTCTCTGTCACAGAGTAAAGTAATTACAATAGTAAAACTCCTATATTTTTTGGATATTGATTTACCACCTTTTCTTTTTTCTGGGCAATCCGTTTACGGATACCCAGTCGAAGGGGGTAACAGACCGTGTTATATCTGACTCCGGTGTATCCAGAGAAGATAAGGGAGAAGAGGTAGACCGAGGTCCTACTCCTCCTCCAATATCTCCCAGGGGACTATGCTGCTACGCTCCGAGAAAGTGCGCGAGGCACCCACCCCACAGAACCGACCATTGACTAAGCCCCATCGGCTAGACGAAACTTACGGTACTGCATAGTGAAGACGGCATTATCCCCAGAAAAACATTTTTATCGTTTTTAACAAGCTTTTGAAGTACACTGAATATCTAGAAATTGCTGGGAATCGAGTTGCTTGGAGCACAGTCGGGAATTTACGGAGACTTCAATCTTGATTACGCGCAAGCATTTCACCAAGTTTTATAGATAGTGGTATAAGCGAATCGATCAGAGTTACTCCCGTAAAAATCTGACCATTGTCAAAACTGCTTTCACGTTGCCATTGTGATGACAGTCGACCACGTAAACTAAGAATTCGAAACACTGTAAATAATATAACGACAATTAAAGAAAACGCGAAATTAGACCGTAATTTTTACAGAAAAACCCCGAAAACTGAAAAGAATACTAACTTACCATTGGTTCTTCTGGTGGAAGCAAGGACGCTTGTAGGAGGTCTGGGTGGTAGGGCAGGCGGCGTGTCAATCTTCGCTGGTGGAGGAGCCCCAGGGTCGTCAGCGCTAGCGTACTGTGCCGATGACGGCTTGCAAGTACAGGCCACTTGGTACTGAAAGCGGGTTTTAAGAGAAGAACATCAAGTGGTTGCCAGAGCCTAGGAATAGCTGTGAAGAAGCTTTTTCCACCAGGACACACGAGGTGGGTGTTAATTTTGACTTGGACCTCGGAACTAGCGGAATAATAGCTGTCCAACCGAACTGTCCAAGCCAAGTAGTGATACTAATACTAGTGGCACTGTTTGAAATCTTGCTCATACCTATTTACACCTTTTCGCTGATAGTCTTAAAGGCTATTGCAGCTACACCCAAACGGGTAGGTGTGCTCACGGGCTCAACCTGAAAGAATTTGCTGGCACTAACCCTAGCAAGAGCAGTGCTTCGCAGTATCTAGCACTAAATCGCCATCGCAACCCACTGAAAAGATCCGGCGATTGCTTTTTTTTTTATTGCTTAGATGGGTGGACGAGCTCACAGCTCACCTGGTGTTAAGTGGTTACTGGAGCCCATAGACATCTACAATGTAAATGCGCCACCCACCTTGAGATATAAGTTCTAAGGTCTCAGTATAGTTACAACGGCTACCCCGCCCTTCAAACCGAAACGCATTACTGCTTCACGGCAGAAATAGGCGGGGCGGTGGTACCTACCCGTGCGGACTCACAAGAGGTCCTACCACCAGTGATAAATTTTTTTATAATGGTATTCAAATAGGTGGAAAGCTGTATAGTTGTGAAGACAAATAAATAAATACCTTGTGCAGATCTGAAGTTACAGAAGCAGTTGCGTCGCATTCTGGACATGCTTCCGGGGTGGGAGAACTTGGCGCTGACGTCACATCCGGATGAGACATTTTCGGGATTTCCTCGGTCTGTCGACAATGTAGAAAATATTAAAACGCTAAAATAAACAGATATTTTTGCCATCAAAGCTACAAAGTAAAATATACAGGACAATGATTATTTATAATTACATGTTTCACGTGTGGCGGGTAGCTATCATAGAACACAAGATATTTGACGGATGCCTAAATCTCGTTTACGACATTTTCAAGATAAACTTTCATATATACAAGTTCCGAACAACATTCGGACCGTCGGTCTACCGAGCAATATCACCCGCTCGGTGGAAAATCTTCTCTTTGTTACCACCAAACTTATATTCTGGCGAAAATAATTGGAACAAAACAAAAATAAATTACAATTGTATTAGCCGTTAGCCGTTACTGTCAAATATGCTCTCCATAATTCCCGCCATTAAAAAAATTGCAATATGGCGTCCGTTGACGCGTTAACAAAAACTAAATCGTTTCGCATCTGCTGACCGCTTCCACATCCGGCGTGAACACATGTCCCAACCCGCTTAGTGGGTCTGATACGGTTTTGCGGTCGACATATTTCACATATTCCACATTTTGATGCAGTAGATTCCTACTTACCAATACTAAAACAGAACATTATTACTATTGATAAGGGGATATCGTCCCTTTTCAATACGCTTTTATTAACTTCAGCCATACATACGGCGTTAGTATGTAACGGAGTCTTTGAACATGGTTTTGACCCCCTTCAAAACGTCGGATTAACTCGAAATTTGGTATACTTATTAAGGACCGAGGACAATTTTTTTTTTTTTTTATAACAACGAGAAACAAACGAGCAAGACGGGTCACCTGATGGTAAGTGATTCACCGCCGCCCACGGTCACCAGCGTTTACGCCAGTGCGTTGCCTACCCTTCAGGTAAGAATATGCTCTTTTCTTGAAAAACCCAATGTTAAAATACAATATAAGAAAAATATATTGAAAAAATTTGAATTCATTAATAATAAAAATAAATAATAGTTAATTGAAAATAAATTTTAATAAATTTAAATTAAAAATAGTGTAAGAAAAAATTCTTTTATTGTAAAAAAAGCGTGGGGAGCTTTTCAGGATATTATCAAAACAACCCTCCTACTCATATCTGTTCATAAAATATTTATAACTCAGTAGTGAGAAGCAGTAATGCGTTTCGGTTTGAAGGGCGGGACAGCCGTTGTAACTATACTGAGACCTTAGAACTCATTTCTCAAGGTGGGTGGCGCATTTACGTTGTAGATGTATATGGGCTCCAGTAACCACTTAACACCAGGTGGGCTGTGAGCTCGTCCACCCATCCAAACAATAAAAATAAAAAAGGCAGCGTTAAAACAGGATTTGGAAGTATCGGCAAAAGCAGTGACCACATAAGACCTGGTCAACTGTAATCCAATAATAGTAATACGCTAAAGCCACCAATTTGTTTGTACGATGTTTTCAATGTGTAGTGTTTGACGCCATTACAAAAAATAATTGTCAGAGACAAGAAGCGTTATTAACCAGACTTCCCACGCTGCAGACAAAAGCGCATTGACGTAATATAAGGCTTTATTTTTATTATTTTATTGCACATACGGATCGCCTCTACGCCCGGAGAGATTACTCAAAGAATTTCCCACTCAAGTTGGAAGGGATAACTGCTTCGTGACAAAATTGGGTTATTGTTATTTAGGAATTTTGAAAAATAATACCTTTCCAGTTCCCCCTGTTACGTTAGCAATCTATTCTACTCTATTCTAATATTATAATTTAAAAACTTTATATGGTTGTCAGTGTAACTCAATCTCGATGCAATTTCGCATTAAAGTAAACTAGAAGCCCCGCAGTAGTCGAAATTCGACTATAATTGGAATTGTAAGTTTGTACACTATTATGATCGTATTTTATACTTTTTACTTACACAAATTCCGCCAAGGCTACATTTAATTACATTTTTTACACTATAAAAAAAAAATTAATAAAGACAAACAATATTTAATCAATTCTCAATTTGATTCACAGACGTCAAGAACAAAAGTTTGACAATAAATAGTATGCATGCGTGTGTGCGTCAAATACATGGTATGTAGTGTGTGTAATGTTTTCTTTATCGATTTATATATTTTATGCATTAATAAATAAAAAAACTTCTCTATATTCTCTATAAGTGTGGAAAATTTCATACTCCTCCGTCCGCGCAATTTTTGTAAATAGGGATACAAAGTTTTTGCTTCACGTATTAATATATAGATACCTAGTTTAATATATAGAAATTTGTTATCATGGTAAATGAGGTAACTTGAGCAATCATCAATGATTGTGACCAGACCGTGGGTAGGTCTCCCACGAGGTGGGCCGAAGAACTCGTGAAGGTCGTCTGAATCGGCTGGTGCAGGCAGCGCAGAACCTTTCATTGTGGCGAGGCTTGGGAATGCGTATACCCAGCAGTGGACTGTATTTTTATAGATAGATAGATGAACCAAAGATGACGTAAGCAGCTATTTGTTCCGGAAAATTTCAACAAAGGTTTAAAATTTTGGAATTACAAATTTAACGCTACAGAAACCACGAGGCACGTCTAATAATTTCCAAAAGTAAAATCCCACGGAAAACATTAACAAAAGACCTTTTAAAAATAACGAAGACCACCACGAATCATTTCGATTTACAGAAAGCATTTCCAACGAAACTATATGACGTCCATACAAAACGAAATGGAGGACTGAGCTAGCAATGGCTACGTCAGCAGGGTCAACGCACTCACGCGATCATCTTTCGTTCGTACAAATGATTTGCGAATGAATCGAATTAACCAAATCTCTCCGTACATTAGCGTATTACTTTTTAACTATACCGATCAACTGATAAGAGAAATTTTAAACAGCTAAATGTATTTTTTTTATTGCTTTGAAGGGTGGACGAGCTCACAGCCCACCTGGTGTTAAGTGGTTACTGGAGCTCATAGATATCTACGACGTAAATGCGCCACCCACCTTGAGATATAAGTTCTAAGTTCTCAAGTATAGTTACAACGGCTGCCCCCACCCGTCAAACCGCGGTACCTACCCGCGCGGACTCACTAGAGATCCTACCACCAGTAATGTATGTTTCCAGCTATTCTCAAAGTCATTAGAGTAGTACTGTTTACATTATACACGGTCGTGAATCGTTTGTAATATTTGTTAATTATCTGTTAATGACTCCTTGTAACATCTTTTAATTATAAAATATCTGTTAAAGACTCAAATGCTTCGAAATCGGTTTAAATTGTGCTTTATAAGCTATTGCATAGCTTTTATCACGGGCGTTGAGCGCGGCGACCGAATCAAGAAATTCCGTAACGAAAATAGAACCTAACACCCCCACTCCGCCTACCATGTAGCTCGCGTCCAATACATTCACACGATGCGCTTGTGTAGTGTTTGTGAATAAGCGCACGGCGTGAAGTCGCACTGCACGCGCATCCACAACGTAAATACACCACCCACCTTGAGAATAAGTTCTAAGGTCTCAAGTATAGTTACAACGGCTGTCCCACCCTTCAAACCGAAACGCATTACTGCTTCACGGCAGAAATAGGCAGAGTAGTGGTACCCACCCGCGCGGACTCACAAGAGGTCCTACCACCAGTAATAATCGTATCGCACTGCGTGTCTTTTAGCTACTAAGGTTGTTTGACCGTTTCCAAGACACTTATTTATAAATGCGAACGAAGCCGCATGTAAAAGTCAATGGAGTGCCTAATAATAGTACAATTGAACTTTAAGTTTATTCATACAAAAGCTTCCGACTACCTGCCTCCCGATAGATCTGTTAGCAGGTAGAAAAGTTTTTTTTTGTATATAACAAATATATAAATTTCCAAATTGGGGTATGTTGAATATCGGGTTTTGGGCTTTTGTGAATGCGCTTCACTCAAAAGATGATATAATTCACTGTCGGTGATAGGATGTAACTGCCATTTCGAAAAAGCGGCACGACACGAGAACCTTCTCATCGGGGCCGCCGGTAACTACATTCCCGATCCTGCGGACCGAATGGTAAACAGTCGACGTCGCCCCAAACACGTCATTTCGGATCCGCCCAATCCACTAACGATGCTTTTAGGTACCTCAAGCACCGATCATCGTTCTCGTCAAACACTTCGCTAGTGACGAAGGACTCGGCGAGTAAATTAACCCACAGAAATAGCCCACTGAGTTTCTCACCGAAACCCCGTGTTAGATTCTGCGAAGCACTGCTCGTCAGGTTTGAGCCCCGTGAGCTTACCTACGTGTTAGGCTATGCTGAAATGACCTCTCAAAGCCATCAGCTTAGGTAGGAAAATTTGTGAAGACACGGACCCGGGGTCAGAACCTGGTCAGAGTTGAATGGTTCCCGTGGTCAATGCTTGCTTGTTATGTTATGCTATAACTCATATCTCAAGTGAAGAGGTTTCATTCTTTGAATGGATTATAACCGCTCATAAACTTAGCCGTGAACTAAATCTATACTATTTCAAAATCTTCCAACCGAAATTCTTACGATGGCTCATTTCAATGAATGTGTAAGTCGAATCCAGATCGACCGTGAGCTAGCCCAATGAATGAAGTCGAGAAAAAATCTTTTTATGCCAATGGGTTACGCTTATAATCGTTTATCCCACGAACTAGTCGTTTGGAGCTCTAACGAATTAAACTGTCCAAACAAATCGAACGATCGTTTTAAACTATTACAAAATCTCAGGGTAGTCAATGGAGTTGTTCAGAGAAAAATGACATTTAAGAATGACAAGCGGCCCGCTCCGGCTCCGCTCGGGTCTTTAACAAAAATTTCAACGATATTTGACGTTGTTTTATTTTTTTTAAATAAACGAACACTTATTGCGGCTTAACTGTAATAGTTAGACATAAAATATGTACTTTTTGTAAATAATAATGTGTTCTACAAAGTCGTAGTACATTATTTTATTCTATCGTCAATAGTTTTCGCAAGGCACGCGATGCGATGTAAAGAATATTTTAGGTAATTTTTTACACCTTGGGTTATATTAT